CAGCGTTGGCTCGATCTAATCATTAAGCATATTCGCCCAGTACTGGCTACTACTGTCGTACCAATATCGAGCCTCGTTTGCCGATATTGACCCAATACTGGGCCGTTCGTCAATTCCTACAAGGGTATCTACGCAAAAATTCTCGTCTCCTGTTTGAAAATCGATAATAACAGCGTCGGTAGTTTGCACGCGCCGTGGGCGTGAATAAATCTCTTATCGGTTCATCCGGTTCGCCTCCGCACACGGTGCTTTTGTAATTAAATATAACTCTCGGTAAATATATCGCGCACATATGCGCGAGTATCCACAACCGCGCTCGCTCTCTGGTCAAAGTAACAATTTGATTGTAAATGAGAGAGTCCTGTGATCGGGCGATTCGAATATATTCGACGAATCTCGAGTGATAAATTGTTTCTCGCGCAGATCGACGAAGCATCAGATCTGTTCTCTGAATATACGATTGGATGTATGATATATATGATTTCTATTAAGAGTAACGCCACAGCGCTCATATCATTAATAACATTCGAGTATCGATAGATATTAATGATTCCCCTCAATGGACTTGAAGGGCTTAAACGATTGTTCGGAAATACTCTGTCCCGCAATAAATCACGACTTGTTTTGTGTTGTGAAAGTTTCGAGATCAAATAATTTGCTTTTGCGCGTACGCGATTGCATTTGCATATTTTCACAATTATCTCCGCGCGAACACGCACGAATAAAAGGCGTATCGGGTTCATTTCGAATCCCGGCGAAATTCATGTCGGGATTAGCTAACTTTAACGAATCGCGCGTTTCGCTCGCAATTTTGTTGCGAATTAAACAAACAATATATATTCGCAGGATAAAGAGAGGCTCGTCAAGACCGGATGCGCGAAATCGACCGAATTACTTTCTTTTTCGAGCGTGATTGCACCCGGTCGTGCATAAAACGGATACTGTTTCAAGACGCGGTGTCTCGGTTTTGCCGTAAAACCGCGGAATCCGATCGTGCGTGGATAAACATCGTTGGAATAAAAAAAAAACACACACACACACAGTCTCGGAATTTTTTGTCGGCAATCCGCGGCAACGCCTCATTGCTCGTAGAAATGCGTACGCTTTGCAAAAAAAAAAAAAAAACGCAACACCAAGAATTACGGCGAGGTTTTACCTCGCGCCAAGTGTAGCGGAAAGTGCATAACAATACACAATTTCTTGTGACAAGCACGCTCATTGTTTGTGTGTACGCGCTCTTGCCAAGTCTCCCCGCGCGCGCAAGACCTGGTTCAATTATTTATTCCGCATTTCTCAACGTTGTTTCGTTTTCATCAATTTTTCTCGCCTCATCTCGTCTCGCCGCACACAACCGCGATTTTTTTTTCTCTCTTCATTTAATTGATGCACAGAATTCAGTTCACTGAAGCAAACGTTCGCGGTGAGGAGATACGAGCGAGTCATTATCGCGCGATTCTCCCGAATGACGCAGTGCGGGAATATCTGCGCGAGATTTTACATATTGTATATACGTATATATGGTATATGTACGAGCTCTCTTTGCCCTTCGTCTCGACCACCTGCACCTGGAACGGCATAAGTCAGAGCGTCGACGGCGGCGGCGGCGTGTGTGCACGAGGGCGTGAAGAACCAGCCCACTGGCTGGGTCGGCAACCCCACGGCATGTGACCGAATGGTTCTGTTAACGACGACGACACCCGTATATGCCGTAGCTTCCCGCGGATATGTGTGTGTGTGTGTGTGTGTGTGTGTGTGTGTGTGTGTGCATGTACCTCGGTGCACATCCGCCGTGGGAACTCGCGAGACCCCCGTACGCGCGCTCGCCGCACACGCATGCAGCTTTTAAAAAGTTAGCGGGCTCCCCCGGAAGCGCTCGCACACGTGCAGCGACACGCGTATGCCTCTCGACTCGAAAAAAAGGGGAGTGGATAAAGTCACCCCCCGATAAGTAAATTTTCATAGATTAGAGTTCTCGCGCGCTTCTGCGAAATTGTAGAAAGCCTGAATTATTCATGATTAATTAAGAAAAGAAAAACTTTTGCTTATTCAACATGAATTTGTTGTCAATTGATTGATCGACGTCTTAGGAGATTAAAAAAAAAACTAATAAATAATCGATTAAAAATTAAAGAATTTTTTACATTGATTTTGAAGATGCAATAACTTTCTAACTTATTATTTCACGAGCAAAACGCTGATGTAGGTTGAAAAATAATCTCATCTTTAATTAAATTTTTAAAAAACCTAAAATAAAATGACACTTTTTATCTAAAAATTAGAACGCTTCAAGTCACGACTTTTCCGCCAGAACTCGTCGAGGGCTGTTTAGAAACTGTAATCAGACTGCTTCAGAAGAACTCTCGAAAAATTTTTTACCTCGTAACTTGAAAACTTCTCGACCGTAAACATTAGACGTCGAGTACTCTGTGCATTATACACGACACACATTTTAAAATTGATATGTGTAATACGTGACCGCGTCCTGGTGTCTACATGCGAGCGCAAATACACGGGAACGAGTTGCAGTCGTATTACTATCGATCGAGTATGACCACTTGTCGACGAGATAGATGAATTGGGGATGATGAAAACGACAACCGCGGAGGGTGGCGAGTTTATTGTGGGAACTGATCGCGGCTTGGTTCCCATCAAAGAGAAAATTCGAATAATTTACAGACGATTTAACGAACGTAACGAGATGAATAGTAAACCGTTAATGAACGCGCGCTGTAATCAACACCTGGCGAATAGCTGTAA